TACTTACGATTCTACGCTCACTTAAACGTCTTCCCGAATGGCGCTGTACGTTTATCGAACTGCACACAGTATGGTGACGTCACACACAAAAATGACAATCGTATTCGTAATCGGCGGGTTGCGAAACGTCTCTATTAAATGCATTTGTGCGGCAAGTCGATGTTTAGATGTTCGGTACTATGTAGCGTAAATATTTATTTATTTATTTCCGTAGTTTTTGCTTTTCTAGCATTTATTCTGTTTGCATTAATAACACAATTTCCCGTTGCTCTGCAATCTCCTTCTTGAGCCTCACCAATCGTGATTTAAACGCATCTACCCTAATGTTGCTGAGTGTTTGTGATGGCATGTTTTGGAAGGACTTGTGTTTTCGACCGGCCTTGCAGGTGAACAAGTCTTCCCCTATCAATATGGAAACGAATTCCTCAATGTTCTTATGTCTGTCTGTCGCTGTCTTTGTGTGCACCGTTGCTCGTGATAATTGAGATACCTCCTTCTCAAAAACCGAAACGAGGATCTTTGCCACACCGACCATCTGGCTGTGGCGTGCGACTGTGTCGGCAGTTAAATTCCCAGCAGCACCTTTGACACTTTCTGAAAAAATTAGTAACACCTGTGAGTTCAGAATTTAGATTCCATGAGATTTCATGCACACATATACATTGAACCATTTTAAGGTGTCAATGCCACAGGAAAAACATTTAGAGTCTGTAAACAAAACATTAACTTGCCAGGTGTAAGTCACTAGTGTAATTGCAGTGTCATACAGTGTAATTCTAGTAAACATGTAATAATTGACATATAAATTATTCTATGTGTTACTATTGTTTGTACGTAATGGATTGCTAATGTCAATGTTATTAAAACGATTTGTAAAACGCAACTGCAATTACAAGGTCAATAAAGGCAGAATAACTGTTAAGTTTAGATGCATTGGTGTCGTATTTGCTTTGTATAAATAGTTATAACATTGTCACCGTACATCTATCACATGCAAGCACTATAGCAAAGGCACAACACACACACCAGTCCCTCGCCAAAAGACCAAAACATCATTTACGGACATATCGTCCATGTAAAGAAAATAGATTTTTACAGACGCGAATTATATGTTACTGGATCCAAAAAAAATATTAAAACATTAAAAAACCCATTCACATCTCGTTCTTTTCCTATGTGGACATATCTAAACATTATATTGCTTCCTGCTCATCACCAACTATGTCGTTGACCCGTCCATGATAAAGCTGAACAAAGCTAGCATCGTTTATTTTTCATCCATTTGTGACGGCGTACAATCAGCATGCATTCGAAATGCAGCTTTGTCACCTTAATGTAAGGTTTCTACCTATTTGCTAGCTTTGCTTTGCCCAATTTGATGTATCAGGTAAATCAGTTGATAGTAATAAACTTCCCATGATATTCACAACACACGTCGCATGCATCATTTCGTTATCTTTTATCGATATAAACAGCCAATTCTTCATCGCTTTCTCCACACCATAGATAATTGGTATAAACGCCGTATATAAGTACAGCCATAGGCAGGGATATTATGGTTAGGCAATAGTGTGGTGGTACTGACGTAACCCGTAGGCCTCAGCCGTAACTAGTTGATGTAATGTACGCTGACACACGGCTGGTAAAGGCAAATTTATTGGCGGACCCGGCAAAAATCACCAGGTTTGTCCGACGCCGACCTTTTGGCCGAGACTGACACACACACCACACACACACACACACTACGACACACACACACACACACACACATGTGCAGCAACATCTTCAACAGGCAACACACGTTATCATCCAATCACCTTTGTACTCCCTTCAAAATTCCATCCTGCAGGCCATTGCGGATATTTGCCCTCCTTTTGCCTGCCGTTGATGTTTACTGCCTGGTTCCATGGGCAGCGTGTGTTTAGCCGCTCCGAAGACAGCACCATGGAGCTGCAGAAAGCAGCTTGTGCCCAACAGAGAGAGTTGGGTGATGTGTGAAAAAAATTCGAGCATCTCGCATTCAATCAATGATGACCATGGCATCATTTTCGAGCGGAAGGCATCCCTCGAACTTTTTGGTTCAACCCTCTCCACATTCTACCCCTTGGAGGTATACAGTTCTTCTTGACGTCGACAGACCCCTTGATCGTTAAACGTTGTTGATTCTGCGGAAGCTGTGGCAGGATTACTGCATTCCATTTCGCCGCCGGCACGCATCTCCTTCAATCCGACTTGGCATTCAAGCTGGATGTTTTCGCCAGAAAATAATGGGTCAAGATGCCGGAAAATCTTGGTTTGGGCAGACGCAGTAACAAGCATCTGCGTTAGGCCTTGATCCTCTGGCGTTCAATGTTGGTGAGCGGTTCCTGCAGATGTGTAAGATGTTGAGTATCTGTTTAGCTAGTGTCTTTATATGAATGCAAATGTTTCTTGTCTGCTATTTGGAAAAATTCCTCGAGGGGTTCTTGAAAGTTTTGTCTTCAAGCAATGTAATGCAGCCAGGACGATGTATTCGTCGCAACAGAATTCCAGAAACTCTTCGTTGTGGTTGAACTTCTGCTTGCAGTCACTTGAGACGTTGCGGTGATTGAATACTTGCTTCAAATGTACAAGGGTACCCTTCTCTCTTCCACTAGAGGCAGAGTATAGCTCATCGAAGATATCCTGCAATGTATGCCACATTAGTTAAGACAATTGTGCCACGTAAGTTACACAACTGCATGCTCACGCATTTCTATTTAATTAGGACATTTATACTTTAGCGAATACTAAAATGATAATAATGTAATAATAAAATTACGTCAATATGTAATAGCATATGTGCGCACCTGCAGCAGAAGGCAGCGCTTGTGCCATTCCTGTATACACATGGTCAGGCCTTGCAGCTGCTCCCAAGGTGAGTTTCCATTGACCCTGGCATTTTGCGCATCGTTGCCACGTTCGCAGCTGAGCGCATCGGCATAGAGAGGAAGAGTGAAGGGATCCCCGTTTGGCTTTAGTGGCAGGTAGCGGTGGTACTCGGCCATTATCTCAACCATCTCGGCCACTTTGCCCTCATCCTTATCGAGGACACCCAAGGGTAACTGAAAGTAGTAAAATATAACGTTACAACAGCTCACGGCAGCCACATGCATTTCCAGTAAAACTGCAAGCCAAATTCAGTTTATGCATGTAACATCCCTGCAATATGGTTAAACACTAAAAATTTTATTCGCTACATTTCAAATAGGTTTGACGCTTCCTTAAACTAGTTGCATAAAATAGTATTGGCGCATCACTCATAAATGAAAAATTGTAGATAACAGATTTACAGGAAATACGAAAATTTCAAACGTACGATTTGACTCCTGCATTCCTCTTAGCAGATTGACTCCTGTTGAAACTCGTGCTTGATGTGCCCGGCCACTTCACTCTGTAGGTCCTGGAAGAATGGCATGTTATTGCAAAGCACTCTTTCTATGAGTTGGCTCATTTCTAGTTGCAGAGCAGCTTCATCATTTCTTGACGGCAAGTATTTCTCTAATGGTATTAAGGATATGTCTGCAGGAGAAGGTTGCTCGTCACTTAGGTGAAGCGACGGAATTCTGTCTATGGCAGCGTAGGCTTGGACCATGTTCAACTGCTTATTGGCTTTGTCTCTGGTCTGATGGCGTACAGATACTCGCTGGTTGACATTGTCAAAGCACAATGAGTACCCAAGTATGCCTGAAAGAGACAGCACACATCGTACATGAGATTACACATGTGCTGTTAGTATTTCTGCAACGTTTTTACTAGGCGCATGGGGTATTACCTTGCTAAAGTTTATTTAGATAAGTTTCTGTAGGAAAGTTTTAATACAAGCTAAAACTTATATAGGGTTATAAATGTTAATGCATATACATCCAACATCAAGGTGAGCATGTTAAGGCACATGTATGTTTTCATATAGCAATAGCACTTGTGAGAATCAAAAATTGTGTAATTGTTACCTTTGTCTCCTTTGTGGATGGGAGTGGCAACATCGAACGGCTGGACTTGTCCGTCAGCATCCCCTTTCCTGAAAGGGCGGCAGTGGAGACCAAAGCAAGAGAATCCGTCCTCTGGACCATGCTGCAGAACCTCGTTGTCATCGGTAGCTGCTTTTCGCACGTCGGTCGATGGCATTTCTAGTGCATTCAATGAGACGCTTGTGCCAAGGTGGTTAAATCTGCTGAACAACTGCAACATAAAATAAATAACATGGCTGCATTTCTGTTTTAGCAAATGGTGCAAGGCAGCAACGAAATCTACAATTTACAAATGTGCAAAATTTAGAGTTTTAACAAATATACGAGACTTACTCTCTTCTGCCAGCCAGAGCTTAACATTTGCATCATCAGTCCGGATCGTCACTCATTCGTCTTGGTTTTTTTTCTGATACGAGGATGTTCCCTTAACATTCTATATTGCTTGATGGAGATGTTTGGCTTGAGTGCAAGGCCAAGATATTCTGGAAGTCTGGTAGAAGTGACAGCTGCGTTGAGAGGTTTGGTCAGTTGTGGGCAGTGTGCTGCTCTGCTCTCGTGACCTATATCCAGCTAATTTGCTAATTTGCTCAAGTGTTTTTTTGCCACGAAATATAGATTTTGTTTTCTGTGTGATTTTTTGTATTCGATGTCGCACTACATCCTGTGCCCAGTTTGTTATGGATCTCTTAAACCCAGTGCTACAGCAGTGCCTGAAATGAGGGCCAGCCAAATTTTTTTTTGGGCCAGTAAAAATTTTGAGCCACTGGCCCAAATGAAAAGTTGGTGGCCCAAATATTTTTACAATTTTTCATATAAAAAACAAATTCATAACATGTTTCAACATTTATTCGTCCGAATAGGCTAGTGTTCCTCAATCAGACCCTCAAAGCGCATTGCCTTGAGGACCCCTGCATCCCTGTATTCCTCGTCGTCGTCGATGAAGTCAGAGTCCGAGTCGTAGCCATCATTGTCTCCGGCAGCTGGCGTAGGCTCATCATCGTCTCTGGCAGCTGGCGTAGGCTCATGATCAGAAACCGCACGTATGCGTGCGTGTGTGTGTGTCATACCTTGATCTCTCCACCAATGCACAATCTGGCATATATAATTTCCACTTCAGTGACACTTGTATCTGTGCTTCCATCGGAGAGAATCGATACAAATTTTGAGTTTTTGATTTCTTCACCAATTTTATTTAGTTCCGCTTTGGCTATATATTTAGCGAACTCTTTAGCACTATTGCTGTTCAAATATGTGCTGCCCGTGTCCAGTCCTTTAGCCTGATCTAGCTGGGCCATCCAAACAAAATCAGAGTATGGGCGACCAGCACGACTGAGTGCATGCACTGTTCTAAAGAGCAACAATAGTTTGTCAAAAATGGCCTTGTTTAACGATTCTATTGATTTCTGTGCTTCAGTCGGTACACCAGTAATAATCCTGTGTCTTCCAGCCATGATGTCGACACTGCGAGTGTGGATATTGCTACTCTCGTGGCAATTCAGAGTATCTACCTTGGCGCTAGTCCAGGTGAATTGCCCTTGGTCATTAACATCCGTACACCACGTGCAGGTCATCGACTCAGAATCGATCCGTAGCCATGGTCTCCCCTGCTTCCACGACTCAAGGAATTTACGATTTTTTCTGTTCTGCTCATATCTGAAATTAAAAACAGAATTAATGTATAAGCTAGAGCCTCATCACCTGAATTATTGGAAATTGGTACCTGGTGAAAATAGGGACGACGACATACGTAGTTATTTGTAATCAAATTTCTCGAAAATAACAATACATTACTATAATCATGTAGACAATACTGTAATTGTATTTGTAACGTATGGCGAATTGGTACCTGTCGAAAATTGGTGTCAACCGAGTTGTTTACAATCACATTCTCGCGAATATATCACTATAGTCATATAACAATACACCGTGCTTTGTATCCACAGTTTGAATCTGTAACGTATGGACAAAATCAGAATGATACTTACTTTGCATACTTGGATGGCGCCGCTAAAGCGGCCCCTGGGCGTTTCAAAAATTCCCAACCGGCCCTCAGCTGTTCGGCCATTTTCTTTCCAAGTGACGCCAGGTGCGTGACGCCAGGCCGGTATCGTAACGGACATTTTCATTGGTTAGAATTTGTTCTTTGACCAATCGCAGTACAGATAACAAGTCGCATTCATGATAAATGCCGATCGGATGTTGCCGTGCCGTAAACCGATGAAATGAAAAAATCCAAGACGCTCCGATTGTACTGCTATTTTCCGGTTTCAAACTCGAGGTACTTTACTTTAATAGTAAACAGTACAAACACATCGATGTTTAGTATTCTCTCATATTTCGGCGGTCGCCCAAATATTTTTCTTTGGGCCAGTGACTGCCTGGTTCTGTGCCAATTTCGGTCGCCCAAGCAAGACATTGGTCGCCATTGGCGACCTGGCGACCGTCTATTTCAGGCACTGGGTATCCAATGATTCGTGTATCCCTCACTGGGACATCTTTCACTAAATAACGGAATACGTCCAGGTCGAAATCGGTGGAGTACGGCGATGCCTTGTTACCCTGACCCCGCAACACTTTTTCAAATAAACTAAGCTGGGTCCTCGCAGTGGCCAGCCGAATTTCCGAAATATCTGGCCTGTCGAATCTGCTGATGATGTCATTAGTAAGCAACTGATGGTTCCCATGTTGAGGAGTTGCTGGGATAATTAGCCCACTTTATGAGATATTCTTCATTCTGAAACCACAAAAAGGAGAGATTAGGACTGAAAACA